TCCCTTCTGTTTCCTTTTGTCTCCCGTCTTGTCCCCCTTCTTGTTGGTCATTGTGTCCACCTTGTTTCCCTTCTGCCTTCCTTTGGCGGTCTTGTCTCCCTTCTTGTTTCCCTTTGTCTCGGGTCTTGTCTCCCTTCTTGTTGGTCATTGTGTCCGTCTTGTCTCCCTTCTGTTTCCTTTTTTCTCCCTTCTTGTTTCCCTTCTTGTTGGTCATTGTGTCTGTCTTGTCTCCCTTTTTTCCTTTCGTCTGCCTTCTTGTCTCCCTTCATTGTGTCCGCCTTGTCTCCCTTCTTGCCTCCCTTTGTGTCCAGTCTTGTCTCACTTCTTGTTGGTCACTGTGCCCGTCTTGTCTCGCTTCTGTTCCGTTCTTGTCTTCCTTGTTGTCTCCCTTCTTGTTGGTCATTGTGTCCGCCTTGTCTTCCTTCTTGTCTCCCTTTGTCTCCCTTCTTGTTGGTCATTGTGTTCGTCTTGTCTCCCTTCTGTTTCCTTTTGTCTCCCTTCTTGTTGGTCATTGTGTCCGCCTTGTCCCTCTTTCTGTTTCCTTTTGTCTCCTCTTGTTGATGTATCAAAAAGTGGACTTGGGAATGCTTCGTTGTTGTCTAACCTGTTTGGGGTCTACGGTGGTGTATTTTTCAATATTCTGGCAGGGTGTAACGTTAGTAGTAATATATTCCAAGACGTGGTTCAGCTTTGGAATAAGTAAGTCAATTTAACATTCCAGAGAAGTTTGAGGTCTTGAAAAAAATATTCCTGGTATGTCTTCACCCATGATGCAAAAACATGCTAAAACCGATGCCGTGATGATTGCAAAAAGAGGCTGCAAAAAAAATCAGACGCACAATCAGACTTTTTCCCCTGGCTGGCGAGTCTTTGAATATCTTCGAACCTTTCGAGTGTCGTTCAAACAAACGTGAATCTGCGGAACGATGCGGAACGAAAACATCGACTCATCTGTATCTAAAAGATGCTGTATGACAGAATCACGTCATATCACCTCATGTGACGTCATGTCGCCATCACAGGCTGCTCCGACTCTCTGTACAGCTGGATCAGCCACCGGCGAAACTTTGCAGAATCGTCCCTGGAGCAGGGGCTACTGCACGCAGCTCCCTCATGACCAAGCGGCCGTACCTGGTTCAAATTGGTTCAGTGTGAAAAACATATCTATTCGATCTGTGAACATTTATATGTTTTATTGTATTATACTATATTTTCATAAACCTAAGTGTGTGTTTTTCTGAGTTGCTGTGGTAATTAGTTTCCATGGGCATCCTGGAGGTCAATACCTTCAGGAATAAAAAGGCAACAATATCTTCACTATTTCCCCAGTGTATTGTGTAAGGTATTCCATTGGTAGCTTGGAGGTCAAGTACTGCAGGAATAAGCAAAACAAATACATGCATGATTGTTTCCCAGATGCGGTGTGGACTGGGCCTCTTTAGACATTTTCTTGAAGTATTCGCTTCCTTTCAAATATGTTCTAAAGTACGAAGGCGCCCGTGCCAGCAATTCGCTCCAGGTCACAACAACGTCGCTCTTGCCGAGCTTCACCATGCCCTTGTGCTCCTCCAACTGGCCACCATGCGTTTGGAAATCCAAACGCATTTGGTTCATGACTCTCTGCACGTTCTTGGTTCCATTGCTGGATCTCTGGAAGTCTTCTTCGTTGAAGTAGCTTTTGGTTGAAACTACTGGCTGCTTCTTGGACCCTTCAAATGGTACATTTGCTTTTCGAAGACGGCCAATGGCTCTGACACATTTCTTGGTGATCCACACGTTCAAGACCTTCGCAGTGTACTCAAAGCGGAGGTGTTCACGCCTTACCTCGGCCAGCAAGGCACCACTGTGAGGGTCTAAAGGGAAGACCGGTGCGATGGCAGAAGCTGCGCACAGCTCCCAGCCATCCGACGATTCCCCTTGGGGTGTGAGGAGCCTGACATGTAACGTGGTGGCAGCCTGAGTAGGCAATGTTGAATATTGTTGAATACATTCCGGGCAGAACATGGCAGAAAGAAATAGAACAACAAAAACTTTGAATCTGACCGAGTCAAAGCTCCAATTCGTAAAGGACCGCTGTCGCCCCCTGCAAGACATGGACGGACCAGAAGTACCTGGCAAACTCGTTCATTTTCGGAATTGGTGAAGCAGCTTGGATTCAAACGGTCAATCTCCCGGAGAGGCTTACCATCTTCTGTTTCGTCCTCACCCTTCGAGGCCACCAACGCACGGCTCTGGAAATCGAACCACAGGGCATGTCGAGATTGGCGAGCAGCCGAAAGATGGAATTCAGCATTTGCCATCGACAACTCATGTTCGAAAAGCTGTTGCTCATTCACTGGAAGCACTGGGCCCAGAACTCGGTGTTTACTCAGCAACTGCTCCTCGCACCTGACCATTGACGCGAAAGCCTTCATGCGGGGAAGGACTTTCGGCACACGATCCAAGAGATGCGCCTCGCAATCATGCTGAGGCTCAAAGGATTGCAAGCCACTTTAACGAAGAACATTGGCCAATGTTTTGCAAACCTGACTCGTCCTAGCCACCTTTTGCAGGGGACTCTGTCATTTCATCCTCTTCGGCAAAGTCTTGGTCTGGCACCTCAACTGAATCGGTGGCAGCATACAGCTCAGCAGTTGTTGTCTCCTAATGAGTCAAAATGGTGTCGGCATCAAGCATTTCCAAGGATTGCACTACAGGACCCACTTCAGCTCCCAGGTCCCAAAGAAGGGTCTTCAATAGCATTCTCTTCCTCGGACCCCTGGAAAAATACCCAAACCAGAATATAGATCCTGAAACATCGTCACAGCAAATATGTTTTTTCCCCTAATTGAACTATTTTGTGGGTATGGGACCCCTTCTTTACTCAAGGAAAGTTTGAAAAAATCACAGCTTCTGACAGAATGTTTTCCTCTTGAATCAGTATTGTTCAATTGTATAAGTATCTTTGTGGTATGTGTGCCCTTGGATACTGGTCGATTTTTTAAATCATCCACACCATGTAATAAGTTGAAAGAGCTTCAGGAAGTTTGTACATCTTTAGGCTTGAACGGAGGCGGGGCCAAGAGAAAGTCGTTGGGCAGGTTGAGTAGCTATAGAAGGATGTTGATTCCGCACACAACTACCTACAGCAACGACTACAAGGACCTCGTCCAGTGTTGGAGCCTTCAAAACCGAAGATGCCAGAAGACCCAGCTGAGATAGAGAGACACATGGCAACACATTTATTTTTTTCAGGTTGGTGTGATTTTTGCATTCAGGCCAAATCCCGTGAACACAAAACAGCTTCGAATACAGATTTCGTTGAGCATGACACAAGTGTGCCTCATCTTCAGCTAGGTTGGATGTTTTTGGGGAGATCATGTCCTTCATTGGTTATGTTGGATTGCAATACCAGGTTTGGAAGCATTTTCCCCGCACCATCGAGAGGTGTGTTCAAGTCAGTGGCCGAAGCAATTGTCAAATTTTCATTGGAGATGAACCATTTGCAAGAGGTCGTTTTTGTAATGGACAGCAAACCAGCAACGATTGGATTGCTTGATATGGCAGTCACAATCGGACAGCAGATGGGATACAAGTCGGAAACATGTTGGAGTGTTGAGTGAGACGCACTGCCTTCGAGTTTGGGCCTTATCACATGCAGTATTCCTTCTCAACAGATTTCATGAGCACACAGCAATCAAGTCGACGCCATATAAGCTTGTGTTCGGCAAGAAGTGCATTGGGAAGAGCCTCCCATATGGGGAGTTTTTGTCGGGACTTCGAAAACCCTCACGAGTTCAAGGCACGCACGGCAGTACGGGTCGGAGGAGTCTGGCGCGGTTCATACAAGATCGATTAGAAGATGTGCCAATCCATGGCGTCCAGAGATTGTGGCATCGTTGACCAATTCACCTTGGAGCAAATGTAAAAGTTCGAGACCTGTTGGATTGCTAGAAGCACCCATGCAGGAGTCGCATGAAGGGAAACTAGAAGGTGAGCGGAGAGGTAGATAAAGATGCAGCTGAAGTCATGGGACTTTTGCATGAGGCAGATAAGCTAGAGTATACACCCTCGGAGCCAATACAAGCAGATGAGGAGAGAAGTTGTCGAGCTTGAGTGGCCCGATCCCAAACGAGCAAGGCAAGAGATTTTGGATCAGGAGGAGATGAGGCCGTTGAGTTCGGAAGAGAGAAGTCATTTGCTAGGCCTTCCTTCTAGCGCAATACAGCGAGAAGATGTTGAAATGAAGTCAACTGCTGACAAACGAGAAACGGAGCATGAAGAGGAACAAGAAGGTAGTCGGAAGATTCCCAAACGAGAAGGTAGTCCAATGTCGAGCGGTTTATATTCTCCTTTCTATGCTGGACAGGTTGAACTCAGAATGCCGGATGATGACGAGCATTGGGAGGAGGATGTTGATTGGGACAACATTGCTTTTCACATCGTTGAAAGCATGTACCATGGAGAACAACCACCAGAGCTGTCAGAAGCAGATCTTGCAGACCTTGATGGTCAAGCGATGAGAGAAGAAGTTGAAAAGTTGACAGGGCTAGGAGTTGTGAAGGTGGTCAAAGATCAGTTATAATCGAGACCCAGCTGGCAAGTTTGTGTGGAGGTGTTAGATTGGCGGTATCGAAACGACAGATGGAAACGTCGATGCCGCATTGTTGAAAGGGATTTCAAGACTGGTCCGAGCACTTCAGATATATACATTTTCACCTACGTCAGCTGGAGGGGCAATTCGTTTCTTTCTGTTGTTTCATTTGGTGTATGGCTGGAAAGTGTTGTCAATGGACATTAGTGATGCCTACCTCATTGGATCAAAGGCCTCTTGGGTTTGAAAAGTGAAGACCTGTGGGAATTGAGGCGCGCTTTGCCCGGTCAGAGGAATGGTGCACAACGATGGTTCAATTATTTGACATATTTTCTGAAAAAGCTGGGATTCTTGCAGTGCACATCTATGCCCTCAGTGATGCGTCACAAGACAAGGAAGATGTGATCAATATACATGTGGGTGATGAACTAGTGGCAGCTGAAAACATGGAAGAAGCTCACTGGTTCATGAATGAACTACGGAAGAAATTCCAGTTGCAGGTTGAAGGACGGTTTCCCCAAGGACCTCGTGGAGCAGGTGAAGAGTTGAGCTACTTGAAGAAGACATATGTTTTCACCGGAGGGGGTATTTTGGTGACGCCCAACGAGACGTACATCGAGAGCTTGCTTAAGTTATATGATGTTGGCAGCCGCAAGTACAAGCAGGTTCCAGAACACAGTTTGTTGGGACAGTTGGATTTTTCAGAAGAGTTTGATCAGCAGAAGCGGTCATTGTTTAAAAGTGGCTTGGGAGTGGCCATGTATTTTTGCCCAGGATCCTATTGATATTCAATACTGCGTGAAGAGTCTGGCAAGCTCAATGAAGTGTCCTACACGGCAAGCAGGGAAGGACCAGGAGCTTCGGAACCATCTCATCCTCTTCGCCCCCCTGGGAAAAGAAACCTTCGCCACCGTACACCTCCATGTTCACTGCATTGATGCCTGCGTAGGCCGGAGGATGTAGATGCTTCGTTTGGTCCTGCTTGCGGTCAGGCCGCCAGGGTTTGATCGCTTTGTACAATGGGTCACCTTTGTCACTCACTCATCGGCAGAAGCGGAGCTGTTTGGGTACTGTGACGCCGTAGTAATGAGCGAGGCCGTGTCACCTCTGGTCAACCTGTTAGCAGACCATCGATTGCAGCATGAGGAGCACCAAGAGCTCCTGGGGGACTCCCAAACTGGGTTCCGCATTGTTCAAGTTCCAGCAGACGGACCGTGGAGGACAACACATCTAAGACTGCCCTTGGACGCTGGAAACCTCAGCCGGTTCTTGGAATTGAGTTGGTGGCCGGCCTGCTAACGAAAGTATTCTGGTCTCCTGCCGCTTGGGCTATGTTCTTACCAAGTTTTGAGATACTGATAGAAAAATGGGTTTACCCTTGGGGTGCCTGAAATAGAAAGTGCACCAATACAAAATCAAAGACCCCTGGGCCCAAATGTGCATGCATTTTAGCTTTACAAGTTCTTGCACCTCACCCTTCAAAACACTAAATCAAGACCCCCAGGGTCCAAAATGCAAAAAAACAAAATCGAGACACCCTTCCTCTGTCTGCGCAGAATTTAAG